ATAATAAAAATACTGAAGTGCCCATTAAGGGAATTGGCTGGGGAACTCAAAAATAGCTCCGGTCCTTTTTTTTGGAACTAAAATGAGTTTCACTTTCTTTCGGTTTTCATTCAGAACTCACAATACCATGAAGCAATATGGCTCTTCTTTGAAGCTAAGACAGGCTGGATTTTCACAATGACAGTGACTAGCAAATCGAAAAATACCTTTTTTCTTTCGCCGGCGACAATTTTTAAGAGACGAAGGAAGGATTACTAGTTTAACTTACTGAAGCTGAAGAGAAGTCGGCAAAGCAAAACCGACAAGTATCATTGCCTTATAAACGCAGTAAAATATTTAGCTGAAAGACCATAATAACTTTATTTGAACTGTATACGGATGACTTTCAACTGAAAGGAGATTTTGTCAGCTCAGTTGACTCCTAAGAGTTTACCAAAAGAATCTGAATCTCCGTACTGAGGCAACCTTACATATCAACTCGATTGTGAAAGCAATATCGGTGGCAACAGAGAAGGAGCAAATTCTCTCTTGCGGTAGCAATATTCAGAATATTTTCATTTTTCTATTTCCTACGTACGAATCACCACAGATTCTTAGGACCACCTGAGGAAAATCTCAGTGAGTTAGACACGTTTCAAAATACTAAAACTTAAGAGTTCTCACAAAATAACTACCACTCCGAAAAATTATCGCCACTCTCGAGAAACGGGTTCCTGTATCTCAGAAAGAGGTTGTCTGGTGGTTGATTGTGGGTGTCATAATTAAACAGTGTTGTTCCTTTTATAGGAATCTTTATGGACGATAGTAAAGTTGTACATTTTCAAACACCTCTCGAAACTGGTGAAATGGACAGTTCAGAAATTGTAGAGAGCGACTTATACGACTTCATAGGGCCTAATCACTCTGAATGGTACGTTTATAAATACGGCGCCACCGACGAAGAATTCAGCAGCAAACCGCGCGGAACATGCACCACAAAACAAAGCGACGACCCTGAAACAGTTCTTAAGCGCGCGAGAGAGGCATTGCGGGAAGGATTTGGACAGTTCAATATCGTGGGAAGTAACTGCGAGGATTTTGCACTGTATTGCAAGACTGGTCAAAGGTGTCAGGTCAGCGGTCAGTATTTGTCAGCTATGCGTAAAATAGAGGCCGCGCGCCAAGCTGCGGCAACTGGGTACAAGAGTCCTATAGTGTATGCAGGATGTGTCTTGGGATGGCTGTCGGCGAAGGATTTTCAAAGTCACACAAACGCGAACGGCGACATAGCCTCTTCAACGGACAAGAAAAATGGACAAGAGGCACCTTTAGATACGGCGCTTTAGAACGGAGAAATATCTTATTCCAAAAGTTATAGCTCCACCCGCCGGATGGCAAAAATGGAGAAAAACATCAAGGCCTGTGTGTTAACGAGAGTGTCAATACTAATCAGGTGACAAGACCATCATGGTTAGAGACGACTAGCAGTTGAAAAGTAGCCCCCTAACTAAGTGATCAAATTTATTTTCCTCCATCCTAAATAGTCTTACGGTCAACAAGCAATGATTCTAACAATAGCTTCTCGACTTTTATTGATTCTGTAGTAGTACCTTTCTTGGACCATGATTCACTAAACTATAATTCTTACAAGATTACAGCTATCGGGCGCTTTCCAAGCTGATTCAAACATATTCTTGCGACTGAGGTGATGAAGTTAATCAAGCCAGGTTTGGAGAAGGCGTTTCAAACAATTTTACCCATTTGATCCACTAAAATGTTCTACAATTGGTACAGGATTTAATTGAGCCGAAACCAATTGTGGAATTGCACACATCTTAGGCATCCTACTGATGAACAGTTACGTCTTTTAGATATTTCAAGCAACAAAAGCATGCCGTCTGTCCCCCTTGAATTAGAGTACAGGACCAATTTTCTAGGTATATATTTTTGGGGCGGCTCGACTGCTCGGCTGCTCGGCCGCTAGGATATCGGCTGCTCGGAGGATTGACAGTCCCGACTGAAGAGCCAGCGAGCCGCCGAGCCAACAAAATATATATACCATTACTTGTTTTTTTAAACTCATACTTATGTACCTCGCTTGATATCTATCACTTATCTTTCTCTCCTTTTGATAACTTGTCGTAATTAGCGAGCCACAGAGCCACTTTTACAAAATGGTCATGTATTCTGTAGTTGCTCCGATTTTTCCTGCCACATTTCGAAAAAGTGGTAAGCGCCCTTTTCCACTGTAATATTCGTTTTACTGCTTTGACACAGTACGTATTACTTTATAATAATTACATCTTTTCTCGGTCAAAATAACAGTAATTTGAGAAGAAAGAAAACAGCTCCAAAAGCAAAGCTTCTAATGTCCAGATTTCCAGTGTATTTACAGAGAGAGCTGGTGACACTAGGGATCCTTTGGACTTTGTTTCTTCCTGATGAAAAAAACCATCGATTCTGTTGAAAATGGACCAACACAGGGTAACTATAGGTTGCTTTTCTCTTTAACCTTACTGTGGTTATATTTTCACTAAAGGAGACCTTTAGATTCTAAGAAGAGGACGACTACGAGAACAAGATTTTCTCAATATATACCAAGAGAGAATGATCTAGCTCATTCCCTCTTGTCAATACTAAATAGTCTAGCGACAGAAACAAGTTATCAAATATTAGTAGTTTTATAGAAGTTTTATCACTGCGATCGAGAGAGGGCTTAACCTCCTTCAATAAACGATAACTACGCAAACTTTGCGGGTGAAAAAAAAGTGCAATAAAGCTTTTCAGTGTGTCTATTTTTTGAGAATATGCGAAAAAATCTGTCAGTCAAATCTCCTTGAATCTAGCGGTCTTTAATTAAAGTGCGTTTAGATGAAGGTCCCTATAATGAGCTATACATTGCATCATGGCTGGCGAATAAAGCCGCATTTACACGCCTTGTAGATGTGGCTTTCTTGACAAGGAAAGGACCAAAATGCACATTCACGTGTCGACAAAACTGCACCAACACGTGCTAACGGGGGTGGCGGAAAAAGCACCCTAGGTGGGGAGGGAAGGGGAGGGGAGGGGAGGGGAACTTCAGAATGATATTTCGGGTGGTTGGCAAACACTTTCAGCAGTTTAACTTTGACAAATCAGTACGACCGCACAAGTTGAACTACCATAATGATATGGAACAAATGTACAGTTATAACAGGCTCGATATGGCTGAAACAGTGTTAGGACCAAGATACTGCATTGCAAATACCGTAAAATTCCGAAAATAAGCCCCTCCATGTATAAGCCCCCCAAACTGGGAACGCAAAAAAACCTCCGTTAAATCGTCCCTCCAAATATAAGCCCCCGGGGGCTTGTACTTGGAAAATTGCCCTCAAATACAAAGTAAATAAAACAAAAACGGCAAATTTACATTAAACTACCATAAAATTGCGAAAATAAGTCCCTCCATGTATAAGCCCCTCCAAATATAAGCCCCCCAAATCGGTAACGCAAAAAACCCTCCGTTAAATTGCCCCTCCAAATATAAGCCCCCGGGGGCTTGTACTTGGAAAATTGCCCTCAAATACAAAGTATAACAAAGCAAAAACTGCAAATGTACTTAAAACTATAAGGCTAGTCCAATCGATTTTGAAACGCAAATTTCCCTCCGTAGATAAGCCTCTCCGAATATAAGCCCCTCCAAAAATAAGCCCCTCAAAAAGGGCCTTATTTTCGGAATTTTAGGGTAGCTTATTTTTGTGGCAACACTCGCGTGCCGCTCGCACGCGAACGCATACTGCTCAGGCTTGCACAAGCTCAGTGAAGTCATCTATATTAGGGAACTTAACTAACCACAACGATGACAGAAACAAGAACATATCAAACCATCAAAAGCTCTACACATGCATCAAAGACGCTTGGGTACATTTATGTGCGATCTAATGCACAACTACGACATGACACTTGCTAATGTGATGTTTGATAGAGGACAGGAACACACAAAGAAACAGCTCCAGGAAGATTTGCCAATTGAATTAGCCAAATTAATCAAAGCTAAATAAACGCGATAGAGCTTGAGAGAATGCAAATTCATAGTTTAAGCAACGTTTACACTGCCATCGTCGTGGTGGCCCTGTTACTTTAAAGAAAATAAATTAGGTCTGAACGGAAGAGAGGGGCCCGCCTCGGCGTTCAGACAGAGATGGTAGAATTTATCGCCTTGCCGTTCCCGGTCTTAAGTAAACTAAAATTTTGGTTATTTCACGTCGTAATCGTGCAGTGAAGGCAAGGAAATGTACAAAAAAGCATGATGCAGGTGCAGAGGTTCGTTTCGGTATTCTATACTTATTACTTTTTGCCGTTCTCGATGCTGTCGTCGTTCCTTAAGCTCTCTAATATTAAACTGTAAACGGGATGTGAACAGCAATTTTAAATGGCCGAAAGGGGATAACAAGCTACACTCGACTCTGCTGATATGTAAAGCAACTCCCTTGTACTCGTGTTACGGCTTCTTCAGACGGACCAGTTTATTTGCTTGGCATCGATTTTTCCGCGAATTTCGACCCATCTAGTGTTTCCTACAATTCAATCAGCAAAAAGAGTGAGACGAAAAAAATAACATTTGCAATCTTTTGATGACATTAAATTTTCCTTTTTTTCCATTTTTTTTTTTTGTATTTTTTATACTCTAACGGATATACGCCCATACAAAGCAGAGGCTTTAATTTCGCGGGAACCCTTACTGTAGAATAATTCTAACAATAAACTGGTCTGTGAAATCACCGTTACATAATTAGGTGAGAGTGGGAGTTGTTCACTCCGGGTTCACGTCAGTGATAATCTAACAAACCACTTTAATGAACTCACAATCAGCTTAAAAGTTTTTTTTTTGCGAACTTACGAAAACTTTACCTATGTTTAAGGTTACAAAACACCTTTAAGTTTAAAGTCTAACGACCTTCAAATTTTTTTGGTCCAATTCTGGATCTGTCGATTAAAGGTAAGCGCAAATATACTGTTGTCTATTAGGAGATCCCTGTGTGTTACTTACAGGTCTTCAAAACTGGGTGTAAATCTAACTGCTCTTGCATTGCAATGGCAATCATATCTCGATCAGCCTGAAAGATAAGCAAAAATAAACAAAACTCTAACAATAAAAAAAATCTAAATGCAATACACTTTGGCTCAATGAGAAAATTTCCCCGAGTCTCCTATCCAGGGAAACAAAATGTAGTATGACTTCATTTAAAAAGGCCTCATTTCCCCCACCCATTCCCATTTAGATAATGGAACGAAGATTTCTCGCCCGGCTCCGGAATGGACACACATCCCCCTCCCCCTTCTTTTAGGGTATTTCCCCTCTGTACCACCCACTTTAGCAAGACAAATGATACTCATCACTAACTAAGTTTGAAGATTCAGGTCCTCAGTACCTTATTTATAAGTCCGCATCTGATCAAGTCGTCCGCCATGTCACTACCTCTATCTCCTGCAAATGAACAAAAAATACAAGGCGCCGGATTATTACAATCAGTGGCTTCTCATATATTGCTGGTTGCCACCATTAACATTACAAAATTAATAAGAACGAAAGAAAAACTTTTAAGATCATTTGACTTCTATCGTTGTTTACTTATTTACTGATCGTTTGTTTTATAAATAAAACAATAAATCAATAACGCTTTAGAGGTAGCAAATCCACTAAGTGGTTCTCGTCTACCTGATTCCTGGTCGAATTGGAAATTGAAAATGTTGGGTTTTGAAGAGAGGGGAAAACCGGAGTACCCGGGAATAAAAACCTCTCGGACCGAGGGAGAGAACCAACAACAACAAACTGAGCCCACAGGCGTCGATTCTGCTTGGTTTGGCGATGTGATGCTATTAGGAAGCTTAAGCAACGACGACGGCGACGGCAACGAGAACGGCAAAAAAGGGTTAGATTAGCAAAACAAAAACTTTGCACGTGCATCACGCTTGAGCATTGCACGACTACAACGTGAAACTTCCTAGTTTCACGTTTAATGGAGGACGTGAACACAAGACAAATATGTTCTTTTTCTTTTTCTGAACTTAGATTTAGTTCTTTAGAATTCAACTCCAATAAAATTCGCCAACATATGACAAATTGAACGAGATGGAATAAGCGCCGGGAAGTCTGAAACAGTAAGAAATCAATTTTTAAGTGACGTTTTCGAAGCCGTCGCCGTCGTGAATGTTGAAGCCCCCTATTGAGATGTCGAGGGCGTTTTCTTACAGCACGTCTCGATTAAAGTCGTTTGGTTATTCAATCTGAAGCTTATTACGGTATCACTAGATTAATGATTAATTCGATTTTTATGGAACTATCTTCGGATAGGCTCCTTAATGGCGAAAAGACTGAAATAGAAGAAATAGAACTAACGGTCACAAGAAGAGCAACAACTTAGGTAATATACATCGGACTATAGAGTGATTAGATTAACCAGTGGTTAGTGACCAGACCGTAGTAAAGTAACCAATAAAGTCATAAAACTTTCTCTTGTTTTAACAATCAGTAGCACCCGTCGCTCGACTTAAACTAACCAACCATGGTGGTAAAACTATACCTGGGCGCAGATCACACATCAGATGTCTGTTCATCTTGTCATCCAGCTTGAGAAGTAGTTCTAGCTAAAAACAGAAACATTGCAAAATGCCTTCAATGTTTCGCTTGCAAAGAAAAGGATTAGGCCCTATAGGCCATCTCTAAAACTGCCAAAAAAATCCACCCAATAACTGATTAGGCCCATTTGATCTATTCATCGCTTAATTTGCGCCACATAAGTAATAGGTTATCATTAAATTATTGTTTTTAGAGAGTCAAATTCAGATTCTGTGATTCTCTTGGTTTGTGCCATCTCCATTTTATTTAGCAGTTTGATTAATAACGCTAACAATAAATGACAACAATGCACAGGCAAGTATACTTAATAACCCAGCGTTCCTTTAGTTTAGACAAAATCCTGGAAAATTCTCGTCAGTACTACCCTATTTTAACTTTTTATAGCAAACTGAAGCTTGTCCAGACAAAAAAAGCACAACATGCACTTTTAATGCACGTAGTACGTTCTATGCATATTGGCAAGCTTGATTGTTGTTGTTACGATGGAAGTATTGTAGATTAACTGTAATGTTACCACACATTTCACTACCTGGTCTTGCTGTTTTCCATCGCCAGAGTCCTGAGTTTTAAGCTTGATTTGACATTTATTTATGGAGGCCTGTCAACGCCAAAAAAATTTGAAGCATAGAGTAAGACCCTGTTTACATGGAGTGGGGGACCCCGGTCTAGTGGGGTAGGTTTCTTTTGTTTTGTGTCCCCCAGAGCGTGAAAACAAAAGAAACCAACCCAACTAGACCGGGGTCCCCCACTCCATGTAAACAGGCTCTTAATGAGAATTTCTACTGTCAGTGTGGCGCCAATTTTATGGCGTATGGAAGTAAACTGGCTTAAGGTCGAGGAGGACACCTTGGGCTCATTGTTATGAATTTATTTACAAAAAGTAAAGCGTATGCACGAAGTACAACGACTGATATGGACAGGTTTACGAGATACTCATAACTGCATAAAAGATGAGCACATAATTTAAAGTGTTCACGTGCACGTGTGGAACGAAGAGCGCGAACAAAATATTCGAAGTAACAAACGAGCTCTGAATCAAACCTTGTTTCAGTGATTTTTAATAATATGGAAATAAAAATGAGGAAATCTCTATAAACCGTTACGTTTCCGCAAAGTTGTCAGAAAAGTTGACGTTTGAATAGGAACAATTTTATGTCCGCCTTGGTCACCTTTTTAATCGGACAAACCAGAGACGTTGTCGGACAAACATTATGTTGAGCTACAAAATGACAGTCTTTAGATCTCCCCGGTGATCACATCTGACCGCAGTTGGGATTTCTTCAAACATTGGCAAATTTTAGTTTGGCATTGTCTGACGACTGTCATTTGGAGCTCTAGCTAAGGGTGACCGCAAAATAGAGGTCTGACTGATTTTCAGCCCGCGTAGCTGTTGTTTTCGTTTCGTAAATAAATAGCAGTGGGTGGGTGGGGGGGGTTGGTTGGCTCTTCCACCCCCACCCCGCAACGTTTCATTTTATTGCTCCTTTCACTCCATGCCCTCGCGCGTTTAATACCTGCGCTTCTCCCGCTTGGCTATGATGGATAGAAGTTTTCTCCCAAACGTTTCGTTAGCTTTGAGATTACTTATTACTTACCCTCCTGGTTTCTTCTTCATACTGGTCATCGTTTTCACTCAGCACTGATTCCACTCCTTCAGGAGTAGTTGGTCTGAAAATATAAAGGATAAACAAAAATGTTAAGCAAAGATTTAATCCTGAGGCATGAACAAGCATGTCACTTATTTTCTAAAGTAACGTATACAGCGATATGGAGAAAAATAGATGGATTTAAAAGAATGTTTTTACTTGGCTGTAAAGATAGCCAGGGTTAATGCTCAAAAGCCTTAAGAAGAGACCTACACTCGCATTATAACTGAACTGACGGTGGCAATACTCTTGAAAGATGGAATATGTTAGTTATGAAACTGAACAAATTAGCACACAGAACATGTAGAGGAAAAAGGAAATGACGCTCACAGAGTACAGCACAGCAACAGGGGTCTTTTTTGCATGAGCATGCGCGACCGCTGACTTGTCAAAGAGCACGCGACCAGTGACAGCGACCGTGCTGCATAGTCATAGGAACCAAATTGTTCACTTTGAAAGCTTGCTTGAGATTGAAATGGTAGCAGGAACTTAGGAAAGACCTTCGTTGTACAAAATAAGTAAAGATCTGTTGATTTAAAGTGGAGACTGATGCGCTGAACGAGGTGAAAGAGCAAGTTTCTCAAGGATGTCTGACACGAACATGGCTGCTTGTTGTTGTTTGGCGCTCGACTCGTGTCTTGATTCCCCTTTAAGAACCGCAAAGTTTGGCATAGAATGCATTGCTGATGCGTAGCTATTGAGCAAAATGTTCTTTATTTAGTGTTTGTCTATAAATTGGATGTAAATCAGTTTCTCGATGCCGTAGAGGATTTCTCTCAATAATTTGTTAATAGCTGATTTAGCCATATTTCGGGAGTGGATTAATAACGATCAGCGGGCGACTACCACGCCGTTTTCAGTTGGAATAGAACGTTTTTGCCTTAAGTATTTTAGCGATACAAAGTTTGTTTATAGGAAAATTGTAGAACTTCTTGCTTTTGCGTGGACTAACATTGTAACGCATCTTTTACAGGAATTTGCTTTTGGCCAGAACTTAAATGTGCTAATGATTTTTAACTTTTGGTCGCATCACATGTTTACTGTACTTCTTGGGAAACCTAACCGTTTGTTTCATCAAAATCGGTCGCACGATTGCACTTTAATTTCGGTCCTATTGAATGCAGTTTTGACTGTGTCTCATTGATATTCATTTTTTTATTGTTCGAGACATACAGAGTGACTACCACCAACATCTCACCAGGTGACTAATCTACGTCTCGTGTGCTCTTAATTTTGTAGCTTTAAAGTGCTGGGAAAATTGTAGAACATATATTAATTCACTGCTGAACTGAACATCGGCTTTCGCGCACTTCGAACCCACTCGCTGAAATTTGCTATGTTTTTTTTTAATATTTCTCTTCCTTTCCCATTTCAAAACAAAGAAAATTGAAAGTGTTTACTTGCATCAGCAAACGTTTCTGCACTTTGTTTAGACTTTGATGAGGTCAGAGCAATCCTCCAGGTCTTACATATACGCGCACTGTTGTCCAGGTCAAGTGGGGAGATGAAATTTGATAGTAGCTCGTGTATCGCTTTTGTTAAGACCATGTTAGAGTTTTTTTTGCAAACTACACATTTTTTTAAATCACGAGCACGTTCGCAAAGACCAACGAGCAAAATAATCGCTATGATAGCTTTGAGACGCGCCATTTTGATGAAGGCAAACCCTGTGGTGAGCCTCCATGCACATCGCTTGCTCAGCGGTCGCGCATGCTCATGCAAAAAAGACCCCTGTTCAGCACAGCAAGGGTTAGTTACCACGACATAATTATTATATTCTGTTACAGTAACCGAAATTAAGGCTACCTAGACTATAAACAACTTGGCCCTGGAAATGAGTTAACCTGCCTAAACTAACACCAGATGACAAGGGCCTGACACCACATTCATCTGGAAGGTTTTTAAGCGGTCACCCTCGGGCAATGGCTTACTGAACGCTTAATACAGGTTGACCGTATTCATGAGGTTTGACAAACCTGAGAGTTATTCAAGAAAATGAAAAAGGTGAAAGAGTGAAATATCCATCCAAAGACAAATTGACCTCAAACTGTCTCGAACACTCCTTGTGTGACAAGTAAGGAAGTAAAAGACCACTAAACGCCATACAGAGTGTATTATCTATTACACTAGTTTAATTTGTACATCTTGTCAAAGAGACCGTTAAATAGAGGTGAAGAGGATAAAAAATAACTTGTTGGGACCCTGGAAAAGGTGACTGTTTAATACAGGTGAGCTTGAAAGTAATTAAGAGAAATAATTTCCAGGACTTTGGTAAATGGCAGGTCAATAGAAGGTGACTGCTTAATAGAGGTTTGACTGTAAATCAGTAGGAATTTACACACCGTTGTCTTGGTCTCGACTCTTTTCTTTGCTGCATTCCAGTCAGTGGAAAAAGACCATTTCTACCCAATGGAAAAAAGAGGCTTGTTTTAATTACAAAAGAATCATAGACTCATGAAAATTAATACGTCAAACAACAAATACGATTAAAGGAGAAATTTTCCCTTCAAATCAAAAGCTATCCAAATGCCATCACCATTTAGTCCAAATCTCAGGTCAAGCAAGTCCCGATAATGGAAAGGTTGACGATAATAACCCCTGTTCTTCTGCCCCCACCCACCGCCCAACACCAAGCTGAGTAAACTTTATTGTAGATGTATGTCATCTCTCTAGGCATTTTGGTCGCTACTGACAAAAGGACATCTTCAAAGTTGCGAGTTAGAATCAGGGAACTACGTAGTATAACAAACGAGTACTGAAAATCTTGCAATAGATGTTACTTTCCAAACGATAACTCTGGAATACTAACATAATGTACTTTCTATCTGATCACCCACCTAACTTCTTCCAGATACTTTTCAAGCTCAAGTGCTGGAGCTTTCCCTCGCCTGCATAACATTAAGGCAACATAAAAAACGTGATAAGATTGTTTAGTCGTGTTTTTTAGTAATCTAAATTTAACCTTCTATATTGTAAACTTAAAATTGTTAAAACGTACTCTTCGGACATAAAAATGTTGAAATGACAGTGTTCCTTATACTTTCTATAATGTAAAAATTTGTTACTTTTTTTATTAAATGAAAGCGTCATGATGAAAGATTTTGCCACAAACGCATGTTGATGGAACTTTAAATCCCAAATAAATTTTTATAAACATGATAAAAAGTATCTTATCTTGTTCCAAATAACAGTTTAAATTACACGTTCTTGATACTCCACTACTCAGCATTTCAATCAATACAAAAAGTTATTACGGAGCTTTCATATCGACGACTACAACGGCGACGGCAGCGAAAAATTCAATTTTAAAATGAATTGAAGTTTTTTACAAACTTTGTCGCGTCTATTTCAATTCGCGAAAAAAGTCAAATGTAGGCGAATTTCCCTGGAGTTGATTTCTTGAGAACTGCATTCAAGTTTAGAAAGAGAAAGAAAAATTCGTCGTCGCTTGTTCACGTCCTCCATAAAGGTGATGTTACACGAGACGATTCGCAACGACGATTTTTAGCGCAACACAGCGTAGCAACATTGTTTCGAATAACTACAACATTGTTCCAACATTGGAACCCTGTGTTGCGCTATAAATCGTCGTTGCGAATCGTCCGGTGTAGCATCACCTTAAAACGTGAAATTAGGGATTTTCACGTCGTAGTCGTGCAGTGACGGCAAAAAAATATACAAGAAAACGTGATGCACGTGCAAAGTTGTTGCTTTTCTTAATAAATCCAGACAGCTTTTTTAAAGTTAACGTTGTCGTCGCCTTCGTCGTTGCTAAAGTTCCCTAGTAATTGTCAGGGGCACCCAACGGCAATTTTCGAGAAAATATCTGTTCGGAAGACGATTTGAGATCTAGAATTTTCGGAGCATTTGTTGTAAAATTTCTTGCTTGCCTGCCTCTCCTAGGATTTTCGGACATCTACAAAATGGTATAATTACTCTTTTTTAACGGATTTTGACCCTAAAAAAGGCCACATAGAATTTTCGGGAGCCTTTTCCTGGCTGAAATTTTCGAGAAGGTAAGTTTTTATCCCTATAATTTTCGGATCACTAGATTTTCAGCTAGGAAATCCGAACAGATGAAAAGTTTTTAGGGGATAAAAATATGCCTATATCTACCGTTTGAATACGTTCAACAATGCTATGTTAACTGGTTTTGAACTATATCCTCGTTGGGTGCCCCTGAATTGTGTTTTATTGTGAGGGGACGAAATGAGAATATCTATCATACTTCCAATTCTTTTTACTCCCATCTCTATATTTTAGAACAGCCAGCACTCTTTCTGGGTCAGTGTCTTCACGATTGTCTGGAGGAGCAACTAAAAAAGAAAAAAACAAATCTGACATTATATCAATACGCATTACAAGTCAGCAGTGTTATGAACAAAGTAATGCAATTCATAAAGTATTAGTTAAGGCTGTATACTCGACGCTAAAGTATTTTAGTATTTTTCACCTATTCCGGTCATAAGCCACACCGGATATAAGCTCCTCAGTTTATAAGCTCTTTTAAAACCCCTTAGGAAGCTGTATATGAAGATATTTTGAGCGGCAGTTTAACGGTATTCGCGTCCGATCTGTTAGCCAAACTGATCTCCATACATTTCCTTGAGAAATAACTTGAGAGAATTTGATAAATCATCAAAGCATTTTCCCTTTGGTGAATCATTTTCTTTATTCTCATAACTTCTTCTCTTGATTATGTATTCATACTGCGGGGAGAAAAATTAAGTTGTTCACTCTTGGAACTACAGGGGTTAAACCATGAAGAAATTTGTAACTCTTAAGTCATAATACCATCGCTGTCCACCATACAATGAGCTGCAAGCAACCTGAGCGAATGGACCTACAACAAAATAATGAACAAACAAAAACTAGTCATTACTGATTTAACAGCATTTTCTAAACACATAGCTGTACATGTATATCGCCATTATTACCAACTTACTACGTCAAAATCAAATAAAAACTAAAACCTCCCGAATGAATGTCCTTCATCCTCTGTGGGTGTTTAGGTAGCACACTGTTAATCTCCATAGTATGCATACAGTATGTTCGCCAGTCCATCATGTATGCTCAGGTTAAAATTTTCTAACCTGGGTTGATTCTCAATTTCAATGGTCTCCTAGCACTAGCCTGCGAAAACATCCGTTTCTCCTCGCTCTTCGCCGCTGGGGACGTTTGCGAAACGTCCCCAGCGGCGAATAGCGAGGAGAAACGGATGTTTTCGCAGGCTACCTAGCACCAGCTATTCATGAATTAAGGCTAGGAGACAAAGAAAATTGAGAATCAACCTAGGTTAAAAAATTTTAACCTGAATTTAATTTTGACCTGTAACATATGCATAAGTGTTATCACACAATTTGATATACATCAGTTTTTTCTGATGTATAAAGTAGGAAATACACATGTACCGATCGAGGTTTCAACTGTTTAAAGCAAAACTTTCCACAGGGCATTGAACTATATAGTCTTC